AGCCACATTGCATGGGCTGCTTTGGTTTAAATTACATGGAGCCCTTCCCAGAAATATTTGTAGGTATAGAGGCTTGACTGAAATAGCTGCATAATTCCCTAGCAGAGGATTTTGGTTTTTTGGGGTTTTTTTGGCTGTAATTACATCCATGCGGTGACTTGTATTCTCTTAATTCCTAGATATTATAATTCAAAGGAAAATATTTCCTTAACATTTGAAAACCTGGAAGATTCCAAAGTTGATTTTAAAAATCATCTTTATCATCATCACTGTTATTATTACTTCTGCTACTACAATGATGCCTCTGTTGATATAAGAACCGTCCAATCCGGTAGAGAATTTTTATAAGATTATTTGAGCCAAAATTGAAGACATTTGCCAGGAAGCAAGATCGTAAATGCTCCAGAGAATGACAGTTTTGCAATTTCTTTTACGCTCTTACAATGAAGGAGGGGATGTCAGGAAGATTACAAGAGGAGGGGAGAAAGCAAAGCAGGGATTAGATGACAGGATAGTTAAGATTATGTGTTCTCTTGAGGATGGTTACGTCTTAGAAGGAAGGGTCTGAAGAGAAGTATCTCAATGGTGTGTTAACCTAGATGCACAGAGACAATGGACAGGGTTTCAAGCCTTTTGCTAACGGAGTTATGTGTCGGGGTGTGACCACCCACCATGACCTACCCAGTTAGGAATTTATGATCAGCTCACCCTGTGACGTTATTTTCCTTAGAATCCCTTTTTTAGTCACACTCCTTTAAGGAATATTTTATGTTGGTGCTTTTTTTTTCTTTTTTTATTGTATTTTTTTCCATTACTGTTTACCCTCCCCCCATACACTCTTCTACCGCCACCTGCCCCGCCCCACTGCTACAGTTACCGCACTGTTGTCCTTGTCCATGAGTTCTTTTTTTTCCTTTTTTTGCTCAATCCTCTCTCCTCCTCCCCGACTCCCCAAGCTTTCTGTAGGTGCTTTTGATTTCACTCATGCTAGCTTTGATAGTGGGGATTTACTCATGTGGCATTGATGGAGAAAGCATCTGAGAGCTAGTTCATGTCAGGGACAGGCTGTTCCGGATCCAGGGACCTAAGCAGCAGAGATTTGGGGCTTTCACTTTGGTATTTACCACTGACACAACTCAGTTTTGCCCAAGTGTCTGCTTATTTTTTATTTTTCTCTTTGCTTCATCAGCTGAATGATATTTGTCTGAATTTACTAGATCAGATTCCCAAAAGGGGGAACCCGACTGGCTCTGTTAATAAACACTGCCTTTGTATGGTAATTTTTCTCTTCCACTTCTAGGGACGCTGTTCAAGACTGGTTGCAAGGTTTGTGGAAGAGTGCGTTGCACATGCCTGGCTGGTGCTGCTCCTGTTTGGGATGTGGCCTTGGATAATAGGCTGCGTTGTGTGTGGTGGAGCCATGACTAGTTTTGTTTGAGGCAGAGCTTCACTATGCAGCTTCACTGTTTTGTTAGAAGCCTTAGGATATTTGTGAAATCTTTGACACAGTTGTGATTAAAAAGAGAGAGTGAGAGACAGACAGACACCTGTGGGCGGGCAATACAACCGTTCCTCTCTCCATCACTCTGGTTCCCCCAGTATTATTCAGCTCTCTCTGAGTAGTTATGATTTTCATTGGGGTACTCTGGAGGAGGAAAATGTTGATTTCTTAAAGACAGTTGTCTTTGTCAAAGGATTGGTTTTGGCATGGTAAAGTAACGTAATTCTTGCAAAACATAATTAAGAAGATGAATGCTAGGAGCTTTTTGTGAAGTGCTTGCTGATGCTTTTAAAGAAATACAAGGTTTTTTTTTTTTTTTTTTTTTACCTTGGGATATTTTTATCTGAACGAGATGCTTAGAGTTGCAGCAGCCATATTAGGGTCATGACAGGAGCCAATAAGAGAACAGGCCACCCACCATGCTGATGGGAGAGCAGAAAGCTGAACACACTCATGGGCTCATTAATGGTGCTAAGCCATCGCGTGACCCAACCCTGGAACTGCCCTGATGTTGGGTGGGAAATTACCTTGATGCAATGGTAGCCTACAAGTATACAATTAGGCAAGCTATTCTAGAAATAAAGGAACACGAAGCCCACATAAATCAAAATCTTCAAATCACATGGATTGTTAAATCAATTCTAAGCACATGCTGAGAAGCAAGAGGAAAGAAATGGGTAGGTCAGCACACTTAGGATAGGGTACAAGTTGGGTGGGAGGACCACGACAGCTAATCCTGGGTACACAATGTTCACATGTCCTGCTTTTCTCTCTGCTGCATCTACCTTCCCTGCTGATAATGTGGTTTCAAGGACTGGCGCTGAGATTTGGGGTAGATGGAAGCTGGTCAAGCTAATGACACCCACTTGCTATATCTGAGATGCACTGGGACAAGTATGCCTAGTCAGGAGTGGTAGCCTGCCAGCTCACTTAACGAACACTCATGAATTCTATTTGTGGATTTGGGGCAGAGAGAACATGGAGAAAAATGGGTGTAAGCAGCGGTTCTAAACCAGGGCAGTTTTGCCCCCCAGTGTACATTTGGCAAGATCTGTAGACATCTTTGATTGTCATGGTGGAATGTGTGTGTGTGTGTGCATGTGTGCCTCTCAGAAAGAGAGCGAGAAAGAGAGGGAGGGAGGGAGGGAAGGGGGAGGAAGGAAGGGGGGAGAGAAGTTACTGTCATCTAGCAGGTAGAAGCCACAGATATTGCTAAACATGTTACAGTGCACAAGGTGTTCCCAAGATAAAAGAATGATCTAGCCCAAAGTGTCCATAGTGTAACATTTGAGGAACCCTGGATGTCACAAATAGGTGGTTGAATTAGACCTCATAAATACTGTATCCTGGATATTTAGTTCTCTTGTATATTTATTATTTCATAAACATTTATTACCCCAGTTCCTCATTAATACTTAGTATCTTTCTATCAATGTGCAACATACACATGATTTTCTTACTTTATACATCTAATGCATTTTGCCAACATCTAACAAACTTTTGCTTATTAGCTACTTATCTGTATTTAAAACACCTTAATGGTTGCTTCTATTTTTATAAACTTCAAATTTGTTTATTTAACAGAATTGAAGATTCACAAAAGCAAATTCACATTATACCTATCCTGAAATTTCTAAATAGAAATAAGATACAAATGTCCTGATTGTTTGAGCTACTTTTGGTTGTGTTTTCTACAGCTTGCAGCTTAGAGCACCCTAACTGGTTCCCCCATATAAAGTCAGTAGGAAAGTATATTCCAAAGACAAAGGAAACAAGGAAGACTATAATTATAGGTTTCCCAAGTGGTAATGTAAACATCAGATACTATAGGAGCTGATTATAGTTCCTGTGTTAGTATAACTCTTGTTTGATCATTCTGTTTACGTTTCAAGCAATTCTAAGTATAGTGCTTATCATGGCAGGACTATGAGCTCAAGAAATTCACTTTTTTAAAAATAATTGGGACAGTTTTGGCTAGGTGACCTTCAGAACACTGTGAAAAAGATTTTCTTAGTTCGCTGAATGTCTATTCATAGAAGAGTAGATTTAGAAATATCAACTGATGGGTGGCACCAATTCAACTGGCAACAGGAATCCCCAGTTTGGGATATGGTGAAGAAGGAAATTATTCAGTGCAAGCAACTCAGTTTTGAAACAGCACAGCTGTGAGGCGGGCTCTGGGGTGAGGCAGCCCTCAGGCAACGACCCTCTTGGGCCAGACTCTCCTGCTGTATTCTACTTGCTCTGTTCATTCTGGTCTGGCAAGAAGTCCCGGGGGTCTCATCTTCTGTGTTTCAACTCCGTTCAGGGAAACACAGTTTTCAGTGTTTGGTGGAAAGGGAAAGCGTACTCCCTGAGCTAGAGGAAAGCTAACTTAAAATCAAGTCCCCACCACAGTTCCTCATTGGTCCATCCTCATGCAAATGAGGACTAAATCCTTGCAGTGTGATTGGTCCAAAAGGCACTATCCTGATTGGTCAGAATAGAGCCACTCTTATGGGTCAGTGAAGATGATGCTATTGGGGATAGAGCTGCACAGCTCTGATTGGACCAAGATCGCCGTAGTCTTTTCGGTTGAAATAGGATTCCATGAACTGCTTATAAGGGCTAGCCCAGGTGGCAGGAGCCCAGGGTAGGCTTCTCCCTGAAGTGTGGTTTGCATGAGAGACCTCTGTTTAGAAATGGCTGCTAGGCTCTGTTTTTAAGTTTGAGCCCAGTGAGCTGCCAGGAGCCTTTCTTAGTAGGTATTTTAATTTTCAGCGTTCACAGAAAATTTATACTTCATGTATTATTTTTATTAATATTAATTTTATTTAATTTTAGTGCTTTAAAATACAAAGACTTCAAGAATTTTTATGGAAATTGCCTTGGGGCAGGAACCTCTATTAAAGGGGAAATTTTTCACATACATGAAATTAATGAGAAATATAAGATGATGTAAATAATTTACAACAAGATGGTTGTTTAGTAGAGATTTTAAAAGAGAATTATTTTAAAGTGCTGATAGTACATTCCTTTTCATTTCTTTTAGCTTTCTTTGCCCCTTCTTCATTTTTTTTGTGATAGAAACTACTGTTTTTTTTAGATAAAATGTCACACACAAGACATAAAGAAATGGTAAAGGATGGTAGCAAATTAAAACTATTTGATAAAGAGCTGAAGTAAAAAAGGGAAGAATAGGATGTCTTTAAATAGTGGTGTGCTTATGGTACTTTCCTAGAACTCATGAACAAGATGAATGGAATCAGCTCTACTAGGCAGTGGGGAGACAGGTGGTTTAGTCAGTTCAGCGTCATAACCTTTTAGGAATACTAGGCTGTGTGTATGCGTGTGTGCATGTGTGTGAGAGAGAGACTTATAAAGATGTATTTTTGTTTTAAAATTAAAGAATTTTGTTTTATAGTTAAAGAATCATTAAAGCTGGTATGTGTAAACTTGATTTTCAAATGCTTTACATTTTCAAGTCCTTTTTAAATTATGCTTTCTTTTGTTGTTGCAGTGACTTGCTGTCCTCCGAATACATAGAGAGACACATTGAACATGGAGGGAAGACTGTGGAAGTTAAAGTAAGTAAAATTTTCCTGCCTCTGGGCGAAATTTTTTCAGAATCTTTTAAATACTGACTATGACTTTACCTTTCAGTGATACTTCTAATGTACAGTTTTGGGGTTTTTATATTAAAGAATTTATCAAGAAAGTATATCACCCATGGTATGTAAAAAAAAAAAAAACTTTAATGATCAGAAAAGTAATTCTTGGTGTACTATAGGAGTTGTCAGAGGTATGTTTTGTACTACTAATACTGCTTCCTGTGGTTCTTTTTTTGATTATATCACAGAAAATAATTTCTGAAATTTGTTTTTAAGGTTAGCACTGAGAACCCAGAGGTGAAATCTTGGGTCCAGGATAGGTATATAGCTTTTTATTTAATTGGGAGTGACTTCCCCTGGTAAAATTATAAACTTATTAGGCCTATCGGGAAGTCCCAGGGGTTTTTAAATCCCTGGAGGCAGAAATTTTTAAGATCATGGTTCTTGTTAGATAAGTTCTGAAAAGATATTTCACACAACTAATAGCCTTCTCCATGTATAGGCATAAGAATGTACGTAGCCCTGGCTGGGTGCTCAGTTGGTTGGAGCGCTGCCCTGTACACCAAGAGGTTGCAGGTGTGATCCTAGACAGGCTGTGTATGGGAGCCAACCCATCAATGTTACTCTCATTCTCTCTCTCTCCCTCCCTCTCCCTCCCTGCTTTCCTCTCTCTTTAAAAATCAGTAAACATATCCTTGAGTGAGGGTTAAAAAAAAAAAGAATGTGCGTACTTTTTTCCATTCCGCTGATGATGTAATCTTAGGGTATAAGAGACCAAACTCCACCAAAGGGTTACTGTAGGCCCAATGTTTAGTGAATAAGTTTTAGCTAATTGTTTATTTTCTTCTGAACAGTGTTCAGATGATCTATTTTGCCTTGTTGGAATTATATTGACATTTATATATATATTTGCTTTCTTTTTCTGATTATACATTTGATACATACTCATTTTAGAATATTTGTAATCAGAGATAAATATTTCAAAAAATAAAAACATCACTCTTAAACTCCGAGATGTAAATTATTTTTCATTTTGGTATATTTCTTTATAGTGTTGTTTTGTCCTATGCCCATACTCATATTTTTATTTTTTTACAGCATTATATCTTACTTTTAAAAAGTAGACATTGTATCATACTGTAAATATTTTCCAAAGTCATTTTCTCTCAAAGCCTATGTTCACTGCTTTTCTTTTTTTATTTAAGAAACATTTTCCCAGACTCACTGCTTTTCAATTTAAATATATTACTGTCACAAATATTCTTATTCCAATTAAACTCTATATAAATAAATAAAATAAATTACATTGTCCTAGTCAAGTGACAACATGAAACTGAGTTTTTCAATTACATGTTAACTAAATTAAGGAAAACGTTTTATTATGGAAAATTTCAAATACATACAGAAGTGAAAGGAATACTGTAATAAACTCCCACATACCCATTACCCAGCATCAACAGTTATAAACATTTTGACAATCTTTTCTATCTCTACCTGTGTGTGTGTGTAGTATTTAAAGGAAATTCCCCTCACCCCCTCAAAAAAATCAAATTCCAGACATTGGGACATTTTTTCAATAAATATCATTTTATACATCTATACATCTCTAACTGATAAAGACTTAAAACAAAAATCTGTTAATTTTTTACAAGTGACCTAGATATAATAATTATGCCAGTTTCTTCAGAAAGTTATTCTGAATTTGAGATTAACTAATTGGATGGTTGGTTGATTTATATCACTGCCTTACTGTACGAAGAATGTCAGGATTTTTCTAGTTATGACATAGGAGAATGGAGCCATTTTGCTTATAGTTGAAAAATAATTACCTAGACTTAGAATCTGGGCTCCTTTTGTTCTTATCCTTGTTTATTTAGCTTCATTTCTTAATTTTGTATAATGCTTTTCTGAATGCAGAGTATATCTTATTTCTTGTTAAATTAAAGACGAAAGGAAACAGGCATTTCGCTATCTACTTCCATTTATGTCTGTCAGTGGAATGATAAAGTGCACGTAGGAGCGTGGAGGGCAGATCCAGCTAACAGCTCTCTGCGGTCTCTACAGTAATATCCCTTTTCAGGAAACTTATACTTAATCAACAAAACGTACTCCACTCTGAGATCATTGGGCTCCATGGGTGTATATAACACCCCGAGCACTGACTTTACTGCGCGATCATTGATTTTCCAGCCTGAGAATTGCATTTTTTTTTGGTTGATGGTTTGTCTAACCCCCAACCCTAGCAAACCAGGGAAATGATAAATCCAAAGTTCATTCAGACCCGTGGGTCAGAGGACATTACTCCCTTTAAGAAAACCACTCTGATTCACCCATCACCTCCATTTGTTTCTAGTTCATTTAAAAAATGAGCTAGAGAATCTAACAACATTCTCTTCTGGCTTTTTTTCCAGGAACCACGTTGAAGTGCTGAATCTTGCCCGGCAATTCAGTTAGGAGCCAGTTACTTTCCTGCTGGTTCCTTGAGTCTTGCCTCTGTGCTTGGCTGTTCGGGATGTTTTCTTTTTACATGGAATCTGTTAGTTCTCCTTTCTTTACTAATGACTCATAATTTTCTTAAGCTTTTCTTTTCACTATATAGTATGAGTCAAAACAATCATAAAATTGTAGCTTTTTAAAAAAACTATTCTCTTACCTTCTGAATAAGTTTGCTAGGGCTGGCATAGCAAAATACCACAGACAGGATGGCTTAAATAACAGAAATTAATTTTCTAACAGTTCGGAAGGCGAGAAGATCGAAGTGTCAACAGGGTTGGTTTCTTCTGAGTCCTTTCTCCTCAGCTGTCTTCTCCCTGTGTTTTCACAAGGACCTCCCTCTGTGGATTCTGTGCCCTAATTTCTTCTTCCTAGAAGGATACCAGTCATATTGGATCAGGACCTACCCAAATGACTTCATTTTAACTTAATTGCTTCTTTTAAAAACTCTGTCTCCAAATATGGTTACAATCAGATATACTGGAGGTTAGGATGTCAACATATGAATTTCAGGGGAATACGATTCAGCCCATAACACCTTCCCTAAGAGCCCTGTGAATTTTTAAATTAGCTTTTCTACTGGGACTAAAGTAAATGAAAGGGTCTAAGAGATCAAAGCAAAACTCTGTATGAAAGAGCTTTTTCTGTCAGTTGGCAAAAACAAGGTGGTATTTATCTTGAGGATGCAAAATTAAAATCAACATCATTATCGAATCAGATTTAAACAATGCCTAGAAATCAGTCTAGTAAATGTCTCTGTTCAGATGTCATGGAATCTTAACTTGTGAACATTTAGGTGCAATGCATTTGATTTAAGGGTGTGAGTGTGAATGTGAGAAAAGGAATACATTTGTGTAAAAAATACCTAATAGCTGCATTGGTGACTCTTTTAGACTGCAGTTTTATTTTTGAAATCTTTTTATTGTAAAATACAACACTGACACAAAAATTACCAAAGGTGACACCCTATAACCCCTATGCAGTTGCAGTTAGAGTTAGAGCTCGGTCAGTAATTCCAGATGCTGCTTCCCAAACCCAAGCCCCTCCCTCTTCTGGTAAGACTTGGAAACACTGCCCTGACTTTTATGGCTGTCATTTTCTTATTTTTTGTCCTAGTGTATCTATCATCCATGCATGTATCCCTGTAGCTGAGTTTTGCCAATTTAGGTTTTTTTTTTAAAAAATAAGTTTAAAAAAATTCTCTTGAAATCTTTTGGTTTCATCTTTAGTTTTAGATTCTCTCTTACTTGTTGAAGAAATCAGATTGTTTATCCTATGCAGTTTCTTACAAGCTGGATTTTGCTGTTGATTGCTATTTTATATTTACAGTAAAATAAAATATATTGTAGTGATTTTTTCATAAGATAATGGTTTGTGTTATGTGCAAGACATTCTGTGCATCATTGAAGGCAGTTTTATTGCCATCAGAAAAATATCTAATGCTGATTTTAAAGTTCTAAAAAAGTAATTTGTTCTTCAATGAGACATATTTTCTTTTTAATTTTTATTGAACTTTTTGGGATGATGTGTTATATAGTTTCCAAGTGTATAATTCTATAATACACCATCTGTATGTTGTATTGTGTGTTCAACACTCAAAGTCACCATTTATCGCCTCTTTTCCCTCTTCTGTCTCCTCTCACCCTCTACCCCCTTTCCCCCCAGTAATCATCATGCTGTTGTCTGTGTCTGTGAATTGTGGGTGTGTGTTTGCTTACTCCCTTCACCCTTCTCACCCAGCCCCCCCACCCCTCCCCTCTGGCAGCTGTCAGTCTGTTCTCTGTGCTATGAGTCTGTTTTTGTTTTTGTTTATTTGTTCATTAGATTCCACATGTAAGTGAAATATTAATCTCATCTTTCACTTACATTTATTTCCAATTAATTTAAATTAACTTCTAAATTTGTCCTTTAGGGAGAACTTTTGTGTGTTTGACATGAACCTTAAAAGAATTTAAACATAAAGCCTCAACTAATCAGAATACCTTGGGAACAAAATCTTTTTATTTTGACTGTGGAAAACAATGGTTCTGGATTCTTAAGGTAAAGGAAACTGGGATTGATAAGTAACAACCAACAAGTCTAAACCATGCTCTTTGCTGTTTGTTAGCTAGTTTTTTGCGTGTGGAACCTGAAAGCTGCCAGTTTTAAGTTTCTAGGTATACAGCTCTAGTTATTATTATTATAATACTAAGTAATTGCTCACATTTGTTGCTCATGATGTGACAGGCACACACATATATATATTCAGTCCTGAGAACAACCTGTGATTATAAATACAACTCTGTATTATCCCACTTTACAGGGAACTGAGGCATAGAAAGGTTACTTGTTGAAAATGGCTATAATGAGTGGTCAAGGAGCAGTTTGAACCTAGGGTATGTAACTCTAGTGCTGACTCATACCATATTATCTACCATACAGTCTATATTATACAAAATAGGATAGCCATACAAATTGAAATGTATTTTATTTAGACCTATTAT